TATTGCTAATACTTTGTTTTGCTTTTCAAAGTCAAATAAACTTTTCTTTATTTATTGTATTTTATTTTATTTTTAGACGGAGTTTCACTCTAGTTGCCCAGGCTGGAGTTCAATGGTGCGGTCTTGGCTTACCACAACCTCCTCCTCCTGGGTTCAAGCGATTCTCCTGCCTCAGCCTCCCTAGTAGCTGGGATTACAGGCGTGTGCCGCCACCACACCCAGCTAATTTTGCATTTTTAGTAGAGACGGGGTTTCTCCATATTGGTCAGGCTGGTCTCGAACTCCCGACCTCAGGTGATCCACCCGCCTCGGCCTTCCAAAGTGCTGGGATTACAGGCATGAGCCACCGCACCCGGCCTCGAAACTTTCATTGTGAGCTATTAACAGCTTTTAACAATTTAGTATACTCCCATGAACAAAATTTGTAGCATACTTGTTTCTGTCTCCCTGATTTTCTCCAGAATTTGGAAACTAACTGTGAGTATTCTTAAGTTATTTGCACAAGTGTAATAAGAATCTATTTTCTTTTGTAACAGGACACAATTGAAAAAACTGGTTATTTTTACCAAGGCCTTGACTGGAATGGTATGCTTTCTTTTAAGGAATCGAACTTGACTTACGAAGCTAAGAAAGCCCTTGGAAACTGGCCTCATCTTTTGTGTACACAGTCCCTGTACAGGGCTTCTGATCTGTGGTAAGTAAAGAATGCCACTTTCTGAGAGGCCAGGAACCCCAAGTTATCTTGTAACCTCAAGAGGAAACTCACAGGTATTTAACGGTACAATTCCATGGCTAGGCTCAGCTTTACAGTCTTATCTTAGATTCTTTCTATGGAACAATACATGTTACACTGTTAACTTTTAGCAACTTTTACTTTTGTTAGTAAGTTTGAGATTGTAATTATGTACTAGATGTAGAGCCTAGGACATAGACAGAAGTGCAGATAAGGTCTGACTTATTCCAGCATTTAACTCCATGTGTCCTAGGTCCTACCTAGCTACAAAGCAGGCAAGTTGTACAGCTAAGAGTTATAGTGGCATTTTATAAAGCATTCAGGAGGCCCAGTCACTTTTTTTTTTTTCTTAGATGGAATGTAGCTCTTGTTGCCCAGGCTGGAGTGCAATGGTGCAATCTCAGCTTACTGCAACCTCCATCTCTGGGTTCAAGCTATTCTGCTTCAGCCTCCCGAGTAGCTGAGGCACCCGCCACCATGCCCAGCTAATTTTTTGTATTTTCAGTAGAGATGAGGTTTCACCATGTTGGCCAGGCTGGTCTCAAACTCCTGACCTCAGGTGATCCACCCACCTTGGCCTCCCAAAGTGCTGGGATTACAGGCGTGAGCCACCATGCCCGGCCCCCTAATCACTTTTAAATTGTACAACATTTCTTGCATAAATTCCCTTTTATAAAATTTTTACAATTTACACAGTCTCTCACATGCCTCAACTTTCTGACTTGTTATAAACATCCCTCTTTTTAAACAACCAGTTAATTTACTTTAGAACAAGAATTTACCATATAAGATTATTTTTTATATAAATTCTCTTTTCTTTAATATCAAAGATGATAACAGTCCTTTCCCTAAAGAAACTTCCTTCATGTCTGTGGACTAGATAGACTTCCTAAGGCCACAAGATTAGAAGTTAGGGTATTTAACGAAATAGTTCAAGATACAGTTATCTTTATTAAACCAATATTGATGTTTCATTATTAAAAAATTATACAAGCAAAGATTATTCTGTTTGGATTGAATTATAGTTTTGTACCCTCTATGCCAAATTTTGACATCTCATAGTATTTGGCAGAGATAAGTATGAAATTGTGGCTAGGTACAGTGGCTTATGCCTGTAATCCCAGCACTTTGGGAGACCAAGGCGGGCAGATCACCTGAGGTCAGGAGTTTGAGACCAGCCTGGCCGCTGCACTCCAGCCTGGGCAAGAGTGAGACTCCGTCTCAAAAAAAAAAAAAAAAAAGAAAGAAGAAGAAGAAGAAAGTGGCCATCCTGCAAGCCACATAACTCACTCTGCAGGGCTTAACTTCTCCTTTGGCATCATAAATTTAGAGAGTCCTGCAATTTTTTTTTTTTTTTTTTTTAAACAGACCCAAAGTATTTGGTACTATAGAGAAGGGAAACATGGCTTCCCTCCACCTTTCATGGTTCTTTGGCTGGGCTATGAATTAAATTGACATGAAACTGACTAATAGGAGAGAAACCATATTTAATTCATATCTGTGTGTGGAAATCCCACAAAATATGAGACTGAAAGAAGGGTCAGATGATTGAAGTTTAAGGAATAGGATCTTAGGGCTTCTGGGGGTTGGTGGAGACACAGTTATGGGAAGGTGAGGGGAAGAATTATTGTATGGTAAATAATGGTTATATTGCTATGCAGATAAAAGTCTCTGGGTGGTCGGGTGCAGTGGCTCAAGCCTGTAATCCCACTATTTTGGGAGGTAGAGGCAGGCAGATCATCTGAGGTCAGGAGTTTGGGACCAGCCTAGTCAACATGGTGAAACCTTGTCTCTACTACAAATACAAAATTAGCTGGGCATGGTGGCGTGCGCCTATAATCCCAGCTACTTGGGAGGCTGTGGCAGGAGGATCACTTGAACCCAGGAGGCGGAGGCAGGCTGCAGTGAGCTGAGATCGCAACATTGCACTCCAGCCTGGGCAAAAAAAAGTCTCTAGGGCTCTAGGGTAATTCTTCTGGAGTAAGCCCTTTTCCCGATACAGGAATGTAGATTTCCTTGATAGATGTAAATTTACTTTACCAAAGAATAGCTTTCCAGAGCTACTCCTATGTCTGCAGTTTCTCTGAATAACCAGCTCAAAGTATGTCAAAGAAGTGTATTTGGAGATGGCACATTCTGGTTTCCCACAGTCATATTTTGGGGATATGTATGTCCTGAGCGCCAACAGTGGCAACACTTCCTGAACACCTGCCTGCTAAGCAAGGAATCTGGCCCCTTCCCTAGTGCCTGCTCACCTCTCACCCCAAGCATTAGCCTGGAGAGTGATTGATTGCTTGTTAAGTAAATGAATGTCTTGGAAAATAACACAACAGGCAGGCCAGAATTATTTGTAGAAGTCAACATGCACTGAGCATTTACTAGGTGTCAGAATCTGTGCAATATGTTGTATACCCATGGAGGCACCAGTTTGAGTCTGCGTTCAAATCCTGGCCCTGCACTTACAGGCCGTAGTACTGTGAGCAACCACTTTTGTAAAGTTAATGAGAGGCAAGCAGGCTGGGGGAAGAAGAGGAGCCTGGGTCCTCCTAAGGTGTAGACATAAACGATTGCCAGTCATTATTCTGGAGGTCATAAGATATGCAACTTCCCCAATTACTCCTGCAAATAACACCACTATTGTAGGTTGGTCTTTTGAGATATCTTTCCAGTTGGTGTTTGGTTTTGTTTTGTTTTGTTTTGTTGTTTTGTTTTTTTTTTTTTTTTTTTTTTTTTTGAGACGGAGTCTCGCTCTGTCGCCCAGGCTGGAGTGCAGTGGATCTCAGCTCACTGCAAGCTCCGCCTCCCGGGTTTACGCCATTCTCCTGCCTCAGCCTCCCGAGTAGCTGGGACTACAGGCGCCTGCCACCTCGCCCAGCTAGTTTTTTGTATTTTTTAGTAGAGACGGGGTTTCACCGTGTTGGCCAGGATGGTCTCGATCTCCTGACCTCGTGATCCGCCCGTCTCGGCCTCCCAAAGTGCTGGGATTACAGGCTTGAGCCACCGCGCCCGGCCGTTGTTTTGTTTTTTTGAGACGGAGTCTTGCTCTGTTGTCCAGGCTGGAGTGCAATGGTGCAATCTCAGCTCACTGCAACCTCCACTTCCTGGGCTCAAGCAATTCCCCTGCCTCAGCCTCTCAAGTAGCTGGGATTACAAGTGTCCACCATCACGCCTGTCTAATTTTTGTATTTTTAGTAGAGATGGGGTTTCACCATGTTGGCCAGGCTGGTCTTGAATTCCTGACCTCAGGTAATCCACCCGCCTCGGCCTCCAAAGTGCTGGGATTACAGGCATGAGCCACCACGCCCGGCCATCTTTTCAGGTTTTTTGCAGCTCTGACACCCCATGGCTCCACCTAAACCTGATGGCTCTACCCAGACCACCAACCCCGCTCCTGTGGTCCCACCTAGAAGCAATTCAGCCTGCAGGAGGACAGCTTCAACCCCCTATGATTTCATCTCCACCCCAACCAATCAGCAGCAAGCACCTGTTACCTGGCCACCCCCAACTCTTCCCCCACACTGCCTTTGAAAAACCCCTCACCTACAAGCTTTGAAGATGATTTGAGTACAAACTCATCTCCCATGTGGCATGGCCAGCCTCGTGTCTATTAAACTCTTTCTCTGCTACAATGCCATGGTCTTTCTTTATGCAGTGGGCAGGAAGAACCCCCCCAGGTGGTTGCAGTATTTGTCAGGGTAGCTCAATGAGCATCAGAGACCAGTTCTGCCATATACAAGGTGTATGACCTACACAAGGCTCTCGACTTCTCTGGGCCTGTTTCTTCATCTGGAAAATAGGGATAGTAATAGCATCTCTCCAAAAGGCCATGAAGATTAAATGCATTAATTCATATCAAGCCCCAAGAACATGCCTGACACTGGGTCAGCTCAGTCTACACTAGCAGTTAGTATTTCTGTCCTATGAAGAGGGCACTATTATTGTCCCTGCTTTCCACATGACTTACTGAAGCGCCAGTATTTGAACCGTTTTTGCTCCAGGGAACTCTCTTCCTGTGTGAAAGAAATTACAGAGATCTCCTGGTGGTGCCAGAACCAACTGTTTGCACATAGCTTTTGTCAACTGGGGATCAACCCTCATGAAATCTGGATGGCAGAGAGCACTGAATAAAGCAAGCCCTTTAATGTACAGTTCTACCATCAGGAGCCTCCTCCTAGCTGGGCTGCAGGGCAGATTACAGACACACAGTAGGCTCTTGGTCTTGCTGGGAGCCACACCCACCCTCCGCCTGCCTTTCCCTGAGCTCTGGGCGGGGACAGCTTTATACAAAACGAGCTGCCTCTGGCCCCTCCCATGCAGAGTGAGTGGAGAACTGGACCAGCAGGTAAGTGGGCAGAGCGGGGCGGCTCAGGCCTGTGAGGGTGCCGCTGCAGCTACCAAGGCCGGCTGCTAGCTGGGAGCATGGGACGCTGACCAGGATGTGGCAGGGGCACTTGTCTGGAGCCAGCAGGTGTCTGGTGGCCTTTCCCCTAGTTTCAGGCTGCCATGTCGGGAGAGTCCAAAGAGATAGGAGTGAAGAAAGGTTTCCTCCTCAGCTGGCATTTGGAGTTGGGACAGGCTGAGCCATTCAGGTGAATTCCAGACCCCTGGTGCCTTCAGACCAAAAGGCTGGACCCATGCTGGGTGCCACGGCTCACGCCTGTAATCCCAGCATTTCGGGAGGCCGAGGCAGGTGAATCGCTTGAGCTCAGGAGTTCAAGACCAGCCTGGGCAACATGGTGAAACTCCATCTGAACAAAAAATACAAAAATTATCCGGGTCAGACATGGTGGCATGGGTTAATAGTCCCAACTACTCAGAGGCTGAGGTGGGAGAATCGCATGAGCCAGGGAGGTTGAGTTTGCAGAGTGAGCTCAGATTATGCCACAGCACTTCAGCCTGGGTGACAGAGAGAGATCCGGTCTAAAAAAAAAAAAAGAGGCTGGGCCCCCACTGACTTTACCTAGGTCCATCTCCATGCTATCTCCCAACGACTTGACCAGCTGAAGCCGCAGGAGCCTGGGAAGGAGGCTGGGAGTTGGAATGGACATGGAGGGGAGGTGAACTGGCCTGGGGGAGGCTGCTCCACCAAGGTCAGCCCGTGGGAGGCCTGAAGCCCTTCCTGGCCTTGGGAGGGAGGAGAAGGGGAAGAGAACTCACAGTCCGCTTCTGCTGCCAGCCTGAGTGCCTGTTATCTCATTCCCTTTTTCCTGGTCCACTGAGCCCAGAAAGGCTGGACATTCCCAGACCCTTTCACAGATGGAGAAACCAAGGCCTAGAGAGGGTGAGCAGCTGACCTGAGGTTGCACAGCTGGTCAGCACAGGCCTGGATGTCTGCCACAGCCTGAGGTCAGGGTTGGGACAGGGTTCGGGGAAGCACTAACTCCTCCCTGGGCCTTGGTTTCCCCACCTACGCAATAGGGATACTGAGTTGGGATGAGTTCCAGGGAAGCTCTGGGGTCCTAGCAACAAGAGGTAGAGATGGCCTCCTGCTACATGTGGCTGTGAGCAGTGAGCGTGGCTGAGCTGGGCCCAGGCTCCCAGTGCTCCAGCTGCCTCCTGCCTCCTGGCACCTCCTTGCCTCCCTCTCAGCTGCAGCTTCCCGTTTTTCCTTGTCTCTGTGCCTCTGTTGTCCTTTCTCCCCATTTCTGCTTCTAGCTTTTGGTTCTTTCTGTCTCTTTGTCTCAGTCTCTTCTCTCTCACCCCTTCATCTCCCATCTCTCCCTGTGGGTTTTGTGGTTTGGACCTCTCAGCCTCCCTTCTTCAGGGGCTCAAAGCCAATCCATTCCTACCCACTCTCATGAGGGTGAGGCTAGGGCCAGGCCCTAGATAGACGCCTGCAGGGCTACTAACTTCTCCAGGAGCCTGGAACCCAGGAAAGCATTAGCTCAGACCCTTGCCCAGAAGTGAGATGTATCTAGTGTCGGGCTACCACCTGGCACCGCCCCAGGGGTCACCCTGGCCAACACAACCCGCATAGCTGAGGCAGGTTTCCTCCAGTCTGGCCCACAGGGCTAGGTGCCTACCAGCTGGCAGATTATCCCTGCAGAGCGAGAACCCAGCCATGGTACCAGGAGCTCAGGTGGCCCAGCCCTTAGCAAGCCAGATGGTCACCTGGGCACTGGGAGAGAGGACAAGTCCCCGCTCACATGGAGATTACACTCCCGTGGGAGAGACCAGCGCTCAACAGATAGACACAGATAAACTCCCGTAACTGAGCTGGTGTCAGTAATACTTTGATGGAGGAAAGCAGAGGGCAGGAGAATGTGGAGGGGGGCGGGGGGCGGCGGGTGGGTTGGAAGCTGCCTGAGCTCCCTGGAGGAGATGGCCCAGCCCGTACAATGAGGGTGCACTGGACCTGGACAGAACCCCACTCCCAATTCCCTTCACTCTCTTGGGCTGGGGGCTCACAGCTTTTGATGCAAGAATGCAAAAGAGAAACCTTTGCCTGGAACTGATCCTTCTAGCTTCTCTATCCGTTGCCCACCCATTATGGGGCATCTTAACTGTCTCATGTGAAGCCTTAGGTTTCTGGTCTCTGGTGATCACAGGGGGGTCCTGGATCCTTGGGAAGCAGACATGTCTCAGAGCCTTTCTCATCTTCTCCCGAGCCTGTACCCCATTTCTCTCTTTCCCCGGCCCAAGTCTCGGGAGGCCGTCTCTGAGCGGAAAGAGATCCTGCTCAGCTTGGCCCCCATGGCCTCTTCAGAACCCCTTCACCCCGAGGCCTTTCTCAGGGCTGGGTCCACAGTCAAGCATGCCTGGATGTAAAGTTCAGCTCCCAGCTGTATGACCCTAGGCAAATTTCTTTCCCTTTCTAAACTTCAGTTTCCTCATCTGTAAAATGGAGATAATCATAATGCCAGCCTCAGGACTATGGAACAAGATTTGATAGGTAATGTGTGCAAAGAGCTTAGCACAGGGTCTGGCACAATAAGCAGCTGATGAGTAGCAGCTATGGTTGTCACTGTTGTCATGGTGATTTTTAGCCCTTTTGTTACAGCTTCCTAACCCGCCGAAGGTTTACTCCTGCTTCCTCCCTGGTGCTTCATGTTTCTCCTCACAACAGCCAGCACGATAATCAGATTAGAGCTGGTCTCCTCTGCCTACTCATGGAGCTTTTTGCTCTAGAGAAAACACCCAAGCTCTCACCACAGGGCCCTAGGGAACCTGCCCTGTCTCCTCCCCTCCCACCTTGCTCCCGCTGCTGCAGCCACACTGGCCTCCTAGCTATCCTTTGAACAGCAAAACCCACTTCTGGGACAGAGCAGGCATGGCTGCACCCCAGGGACTTTCCACTTGCTGTTTTCTCCCCTGGACCGTGCTTTCCACAGACAGCTCACTCCCACACTCCCTTCATGTCCTCTCCTTGACAGCTGCACATTCCTCATTCAGGAGCTTTGCTTTCCTCCGGAGTCCTTGCCACCATCTGACTTGCTCTGTGTTTCTGCTTTTTATTCTGCTTCGTGACCACTTCCCACACCTTCCCGAGAGCAGGGATTGTGGTTGAGCACACAGTTGGTGCCCAAGAAATATTGGTTAAATGAATAAACAAGAACTGCAAGGTCACTGTAAAACAAACAAACAAACAACAACAACAAAAACAGAAGATGCAGACATGCATCTTTTAAAAGTATCCCAACACATTCCGAACATCAGCCATTCTGAGTCTCTCCTTTCTCTGGGGCCTTTTTGCACATGTAGTTCCCTCTGCCTAAGACATTCGCTTCGTTGTCATTGATGACTGTTCCTCACTGTGTCCCTGAGGTCCAAAATCACGCCTCACTTTTGAGGAACGAGACAATTTGGGAGTGGGCCAGGGCCATAGCGCAGATGGGTCACGTGGGGACCAACCCCACCGTGCCTGGTTTCCAGACAAGGAAACAGACCCCCAGAGCCAAATCCCATCCCTCAAGTGACACAGCGGTGGCGGCACCTGGGTCAGAATCAGAGAATGTGTCTTTGTGGGGAGCGGGGATTTAGGTTTTCCGTGCTTAGGACTTGTTGAACATAAAAGAAAGTCAGACTACTGCCCTGTCTGCCCTCATCTCCCCATCCGGTCCTCCGTGGGAAAGCTACTGATGTTTGTAAATGTTTAACTGGACACTCTCCTTAGTTTAATAGCCTTTTAGGTGGCAAAGGTCACCATCATCTGCAAATTCACCTACTCCCCTTAACTACTGACTTAGCCCTCTTTATTAGGTATGTCATTTATTGCTTTTGCTATATCTTCGTTTATTTTGCACCTTCGTCTGCTATCTTGACCTGGGTGAGTCAGGCCTGTACCGCCGAACTGTGCTTCTGTTCATTTCTCCTGGAATGTCTGAGGCTATTTCAGGAAATATTCAGAATACAGATAGTCACTACAGTTTTGACTCCAGTCTCGATACATGAAATGACTCTTGGTCTCAATTTATACTTTTGGTACCAAATTCTCTATGGAGGGCTCTTTGTTCCTCTGTTCCTCCCTCTTTCTCTCTTCTCCTTTTTTTTTTTTTTTTTTTTTTTCATTTCTCTGCAAGACATTTGCCCCCAAGTGTCTAAACAACTACTTTTGTTAAATTTTGATTTTTTATCAAATCCTGGTTGGGACAGGACCTAAGTTTCAGAGTCAGAAAGTAGGTGGTAAAGGAGATAAATGTATTCATTAGTTTTTGGTTACTATAATCTGTCAATATATATCCTGGAACATGTATCTCTGTGCACTTAGTACAGAGTAGTTTTTGTTTGTTTGTTTTTGTTTTTTGAGACAAGAGTCTTGCTTTGTCGCCTAGGGTAGAGTGCACTGGTGTGCTCTTTGCTCACTGCAACCTCCACATCCCGAGTTCAACCAGTTCTCCTGCTCCAGCCTCCTGAGTAGCTGGGATTACAGGCGCCCACTGCCATACCCGGCTAATTTTTTGTATTTTTGATAGAGACAGGGTTTTACCATGTTGACCAGTTGGAAGCTGGTCTTGAACTCCTGACCTCAAGTTATCCACCAGCATCGACCTATCAAAGTGCTGGAATTATAGGCGTGAGCCACTGCACCCAGCCTCTGAGTGTTTTTGTTGTATATAAAATAAGAGTGACTTAAACAACATAGAAGTTTGTTTACAATTTAACAATAACATTAAACAAACAAACAAAACAGTTCAACACAGGCAAAACAGGACTGGTATGGGTGCTCTCCGCCACAAAATCCCAAAGGAGCCTAGTATGCATCTAACCTCCACTGCATGCCTCATAGCACAAAATTGTTGCTGGAGTTCTGGCCATCACATCTGATTCCAGACAGCCAAATGGAGGAAGAGCAGAAGGGCCACTCCCTTATTGTTAACTCTTTCCCCATCTGCCAGAAGGAATACCCACTTGTGACTGCAGCATTTACCACAAGATAGCTGTGCCACAAAATACCTCGCTTTTATTATTATTTTTGCCTCGCTCTAGTATATTGACTTTGGAAACAAAAGACATCACTCCATTTATAGCATTCTGGTTTTAGTGGTTGTATTTCCATTTACAAAACATAGTCATTCTCAATTGCTGAAAATCTCAAATCCTAGCATTCCTACATGTGATGTTAACATTGCTCTCAAACAGTTGCTGGCCAAAGATTTATTTGATGAATCCAGTTTTTCTGAAATAGATGAGTCTGATGTTATTTCTGGTTAGAAATAACTCCAAAAACAGTTTTTACATTTTATTTTGACATTGAAAATCAGTCAGATTTAGGGTTGGGCACGGTGGCTCAAGCCTGCAATCCCAGCACTCTGGGAGGCCAAGGCGTGGGGATCACTTGAGCCCAGGAATTCGAGACCAGCCTGAGCAACATGGAGAAACCTCGTCTCTACTAAGAAACACAAAAAATTAGCTGGACATGGTGGTGCACGCCTGTAATCCCAGCTACTAAGGAGACTGAAGCAGAGGTTGCTGTGAGCCGAGATCAAGCCACTGTAGTCCAGCCTGGGCTACACAGTGAGACTCTGGAGACTCTGTCTCAAAAAAACAAACAAACAAAAAACACCAGTCATAATCAGTCAGATTTGCTTCAACCTCAAATAGTATATTTACATAAAATTACATGAGCGCTGGCAACGAGCTGCACTTTTTTTTTCTAAACAGGAAATGGGCTAAGGAGACTACTCAGAGTCGCATATGAATTCATTGGCTTGATGACAGGGCCGTATGCAGCTACAAGGAAGTCTGGGAAATGTAGTCCTTTAGTTGGATGGCCATTTGCCTAACAAAAACTGGGTCTCTTTTTTTATTTTTTATTTGTTAAGATGGAGTCTCGCTCTGTTGCCCAGGCTGAAGTGTAGTGGCATGATCTCGGTTCACTGCAACCTCCACCTCCCAGGTTGGAGCAATTCTCCTGCCTCAGCCTCCCGAGTAGCTGGGACTACAGGTGTGTACCACCACGCCTGGCTAATTTTTGTATTTTTAGTAGAGACGGGGTTTTCTCATGTTGGCCAGGCTGGTCTCAAACTCCTGACCTCAAGGGATCCGACTGCCTCAGCCTCCCAAAGTGCCGGGATTACAGACGTGAGCCACCTTACCTGGCCGTTAACTACATGTTTTTGAATGCAACTGATATGTTTGCTGAAACAGTAATCTTATAATGATGGTTCACTGAGCCCTTACTATTTGCCAGGCACGGTTTTAGCACTTTGCATGTTCCTAGCAACAATTCTGATGTTGGTACTGACAGCCTAACTGTTTTGCAAGAGAAGACAGGATCCTCTGAAGCACAGGAGATTAAGTCACTTGGCTCAGCTTGTAAGGGTTGAAGCTGGGATTTGAACCCAGACAACTGGTTCCAGATGCTACTGCAGGAGACAGCGTCAAGATGGCCCGAGTCTAGGATGGAGAAAGAGGCCAAAGTGGGTGGCCACTTCTTCCAAAATATTCCTCAGAAGCCAGAAATGCTGAAGGTTGCTTGCCATCCCCTCCATTGCTGATCACAGTAACAAACTGTTAAACACACTGGGCAAACCAAAGTAATGTATCTGCTGTCTGGCTTTGGCCAGTGAGTTAATAATTTACAAATCCTAAGCTAAGTCATTGAGAAAGACCCTTCCACCTTCAAAACGTCGGATTCCCAAGCAGCCCCTGCCCTCAAAAAGCTTCAGTCTCAAGGTATGTGCCTGCATGCACCCACACAAGAACGACCTGAAATGCAGGGGTCATGGGGCCCTGGTGAGGACACCTGAGAAGGCGAGGCAGCCAGAGGTCTCCTGGAGGACGGGATCTTGTAGAAAGCTTGGATGTGGACAGCAGAGGGGGCTGGTGCTCCAGGCTGGGAGGACAGCAAAGGCAAAGGTGTGCCACTGCTGCCTGGGAGTTTCCCCTCCCTCCTTGGGTCCTCTTGGCACGCCTAGAGCAGGCCTCACCTGTGCTGTAAGTCAAGTCAGCTTCCTAAGGGAGAGGACGGAGTCCTCTCAGAAGGGAGGGGGCAGAGCTGGACTCTTAGGAGACCTGACTGCGTTACACCCCAGGAGTGGCTCCTCTCAGAGAGGAAAAGGAGGTGGCCAGAAAGGCAACTGAGCATTGGGTTCGCTCAGCGAAGGTATGAGGAAGGAAGTCCCAGCCCTGTGGGTGAATTCCGTGTGTGGGAACCATTGGGAGGAGCCACCAGGATTCAGGAGTTTCCTGGGTGAGGCGTGGCCACAACTGACACTCCTGCTTTGTACTAGAAGGAAGGAGTATGGAGTTAAAGACTGTGGCGTGAACTGAGGAACCCTGGACAGGCCACTTGCTGCAGGGGACCCAGTCCAGATCCCAGGAAAGCCCCGCTGCCCCTTCGGACCCCGTCTCCCATCTACAAAACGTGGAGACTGGCCCAGTTGACGTGTCTCTACAAAAAGGTGCATATACCACTGGTGAGTTCAGTTGATACCGAGTGGGGGAATCTTTTCCTTTTTTAAATTTTCATAGTCATGTGTTAATTCTCATGTGAATTAGACAAAAATAACGATGTCACCAAACCTGCCATTTCACGATAATGATCAGTAGCCCTTAGTGGTGCTTACTGTATGCTGGGACTGTTGGAAACAACATAAACCCACCAGCATCCTTACATCTCATTACAAGCCACGGAGTTCATACTATCACTATCCCCTACTTGCAGATGAGGAGATGAGGCAGAGAGAGGCAAAGTCACTTGCCCAGGGTTACCCAGATTGTAAGCAGCAGAGCCAGGGTCAAACTCAAACAGCTGGCTCCAGAGCCTCACTCCTGGCATCTCCCATATTACTGCTCAGACTAAGGGTAGATAGAAGAAAGTTGTTAGTAACAGCACAGGTGGGCTGCCACTGGTAGCTGGCAAGGGGGTAAACAGATGGCAAAATGGTTCTGGAGGGCTAGAGGAAGTGGTCTCCAAAGGCCACCTAGAGAGTTCTATGATTTCAGGAGGAAAGAAAGCCAGATTGAAATCTCATTTCAGGTAACCATATATTTGCATCAGGTAATATGTTTACATGGTTCACAAATCAAAACTCTATTAAAAGATATACTGAGGCAGGGCCGGGTGCAGTGGCTCACACCTATAATCCCAGCACTTTGGGAGGCTGTGGGTGGATCACAAGGTCAGGAGATCGAGACCATCCTGGTTAACACAGAGAAACCCTGTCTCTACTGAAAATACAAAAAATTAGCCGGGCGTGGTGGCGGGCGCCTGTAGTCCCACCTACTTGGGAGGCTGAGGCAGGAGAATCACTTGAACCCAGGAGGTAGAGGTTGCAGTGAGCTGAGATTGCGCCACTGCACTCCAGCCTGGTGACAGAGTGAGAATCTGTCTCAAAAAAAAAAAAAAAAAAGATATACAGGGGCATCATCAACATCCCTGCAGTCCCTGTGTGTCCTTCAAGGGTTGCTTTGTGCAAGTACAAGCAAAGAAAACATATTTTTCCTCCTCTTGTATGACCAAAAGGCAGTACACATTTTCCTGGTCCCATTTACCTGCCTTGATTTTGTTTCAAGATTATCAGTATAGCCTAGAGACCTTTCCTTATCATCCAGCAAGATCTGCTTTCCTTATTCCTTATTCCTTCAAACAAGTATGTGGTATTCCAACAGGTCCCTTTAATTAGCCATTTTTCTGTTGGTAGCCACCCAGGAGAAAATTTCCTACAACTTGCTATTACCAACAAGATCACAATCTATAATAACCTTGTACATGAGTCATTTTGTCAGGCTTTGGGACAATCTCATGGTTAGAAATGGCACATGGAGTAGTTTTCCTATTGTGAATGAAGGTGATAATATTTTCATTTCTTTAAAGCTTATTTGTACCTTTTTCTCTGAATTGTTCATATCCTTGGCCCTCTTCTATATGGGGTCTCTTCGTTCTTGATTTTTAAAAACTCTTTATATATTAGGAAGATGAGCCCTCTGTCTGTGATTTATGTTGCGAATATTTTCCCTATGTTTTCATTTAACTTTTGACCTTGCTGTTGGTACGTTTTGCAGAAGCTACTTTGTTTTCTTTTGTGTGTTGTATTGAACTTTTCTTTCACGAGTCATAGTTAGGAAAGCCTTCCCTTGTTTTCTGCTAATAAAAAGCCAGCTTGGGCCAGGCGCGGTGGCTCACACCTGTAATCCCAGCACTTTGGGAGGCCGAGGCAGGCAGATCACCTGAGGCCAGGAGTTCGAGACCAGCCTGGCCAGCATGGTGAAACCCTGTTTCCACTAAAAATACAAAATTAGCTGGTGTGGTGGCATGTGCCTGTAATCCCAGCTATTTGGGAAACTGAGGCAGGAGAATCACTTGAGCCTAGGAGGCAGAGGTTGCACTGAGCCGAGATCATCCCATTGCACTCCAGCCTGGGCTAAAAGAGCGAAACTCCGTCTCAAAGAAAAAAAAAAAAAAAGCCAGCTTGTTCACAAGAAGGGGAGTAATAAGAGAAAACCCTGGGCCCCAGGTCCCAGCATCTTGCTAGGTGGTGAAGTTGAAATTACTCACCTGGTGTTCTTCTCTGCCAGCCCCACCGCAGGCTGATCTGGGGAAGCCTCTGGCCCAGGACAGATACCGCCATGGCCTTCCTGATGCACCTGCTGGTCTGCGTCTTCGGAATGGGCTCCTGGGTGACCATCAATGGGCTCTGGGTAGAGCTGCCCTTGCTGGTGATGGAGCTGCCTGAGAGCTGGTACCTGCCCTCCTACCTCACGGTGGTTATCCAGCTGGCCAACATCGGGCCCCTCCTGGTCACCCTGCTCCATCGCTTCCGGCCCAGCTGTCTTTCTGAAGTGCCCATCATCTTCACCCTGCTGGGCGTGGGAACTGTCACCTGCATCATTTTTGCCTTCCTCTGGAATACGACCTCCTGGGTGCTGGATGGCCAACACAGCATCGCCTTCTTGGTCCTCACCTTCTTCCTGGCCCTGGTAGACTGCACCTCTTCGGTGACGTTCCTGCCCTTCATGAGCCGGCTGCCCACCTACTACCTCACCACCTTCTTTGTGGGTGAAGGACTCAGCGGCCTCTTGCCTGCCCTGGTGGCTCTTGCCCAGGGCTCGGGTCTTACTACCTGCGTCAATGTCACTGAGCTATCAGACAGCATACCAAGCCCAGTACCCACGCAGGAAACTGACATCGCACAGGTACCCAGCATCACCCGGAGCCATCTCAGCACTTGGCTTGGTCACAAATGTAGGGGAGGGAAAAATCTGCTCCCCTCCATCTTTCTAGGTTCTTTGGTCGGTCTATGAATTAAACTGACATAAGGCAGATCAACAGCAGCAAACCCATTTTAATTACTTACATACGTACACATGGGAGTCCCCCCAAATATGAGACTTAAAACAGGGCCAGATGATTTCAGCTTATATAGCATCCTGAGCTACAAAAGGGAATAGGGACTTGGGGCTTCTGCAGGATGGTGGAGAAAATTTATGGGAGGATGAAGGGAGGAAACTTACGGTGAATAAACATTACACTGTTATGCAGATAAAAGTTCCTCAGGTGATAAAGGCCGCCACCTTTCTCTTCCTGGTTCAGATACCTCTTCTTGGTACAGATAAGATACCTTTACTAATAAAAATTTCCTTTAGATGTAAATTTATCTTACAAAATGGTAACTTTTCAGAGCTACTCCTTAGTCTGCAATTTTTCAAAATAACCATCTAGAAGTAAACAATATGCCAATAGGTCAATTTTGGGGTGGCATATTCTGGCCTCCTACAGTCATATTTTGGGATGGCATGTCCTGAGGGCCTCTGTTTCCCAGATGGTGGCTGGAGCAGTGTTCTTCTTTAGGTGGGGGCTCTCCCTTAAGTGGTGGCTCTCCACTTAGGTGGGGGATTCTCCCTTTAGGTGAGGGCTCTCCCCTTAGGTGGGCGGCTCCCCTGCTCAGTCAGTCTCCAGCTAGCCCCTCCTCTGAACATGCTTGTGCTTGCCACTGCTGTGGGGTAGCAGAGTGGTAAAAGGTGTAGCTTCCAAGTCAGAAAGCACCAGGTGGAGTCTGGCTTTGCCACATTCTCCCTGTGACCTTCAGGTAAGGGACGAAGCATCCCGATACCTCAGGTCCCTCTAAAATGGGGGATGCTGGTCCCCACTGCACAGGCCTGTTAGGAGGCACAGGGGCTTATCCATGCCCGGTGCCCGTGCTCAGTGGGCAGTCAGTATGAGCAGTCATTATTGCCACCTTATTAGTTATGTTTATTTACTAATTATCTATTAATAATAACAGGTGATCTGTATCCTGTATTATCACTGTCATGATTGTTGTTCTGCAGTCTGATCCCCTCCCCCGACCAGGGATCTGACTGACCCGTCTTGTCCTTTGCAGGGAGTTCCCAGAGCTTTGGTGTCCGCCCTCCCCAAAATGGAAGCGCCCCTGTCCCACCTGGAGAGCCGCTACCTCCCCGCCCACTTCTCACCCCTGGTCTTCTTCCTCCTGCTATCCGTCATGATGGCCTGCTGCCTCGTGGCGTTCTTTGTCCTCCAGCGTCAACCCAAGTGCTGGGAGGCTTCCGTGGAAGACCTCCTCAATGACCAGGTCACCCTCCACTCCATCCGGCCACGGGAAGAGAACGACTTGGGCCCTGCAGGCACGGTGGACAGCAGCCAGGGCCAGGGTCATCTAGAGGAGAAAGCAGCCCCCTGCTGCCCAGCCCACCTGGCCTTCATCTATACCCTGGTGGCCTTCGTCAATGCGCTCACCAACGGCGTGCTGCCCTCTGTGCAGACCTACTCCTGCCTGTCCTACGGGCCAGTTGCCTACCACCTGGCTGCCACCCTCAGCATTGTGGCCAACCCTCTTGCCTCGTTGCTCTCCATGTTCCTGCCTAACAGGTGTGCTCTCATCTGGTCCTAGGGAATCCTAGTGGGGGAACACTTCATTTCAGAACCCAGAATTCCAAACGCACCCACTGGGCTGTACATGTAGTGGTTAAGCACGTGGTTTTCGGAGCACCCCGGTCCAAATCCCAGCTCTGCCACTTGTCAGTTGTGTGTGATAAGACAAGTCACTTCAGTTCTCTGTGCCTCAGGGATATTTATCGGAAAATGGGAGTAGTAACAGTTCCACCTCCTAGGACTGCTGGAAGCATTATATGAGCTGATTCTATAAAGCTCTTGGAGCAGTGCCTGGCACGTGGCAGGTCCAGCCTAAGTGTTGACCATCATTGTCATAAGCCCATGAGGAGGAGCAGACAGCCACTGGAGTTCTCATTTATATGGGGAAACCCTGAGGCTTGGAGAAAGAGCTTGACCTGGTCTAATTCCCAGGATTTCAGCCCTGCCCTCCTGCCTCTGATCTCCAGCTGATTCCGTTAGAGCCACAGTTCTAGAAGAATGGCTGGGCAAATTGATAAAATGCAGATTGAACCAGCCTAGACTGGGACCTGGGATTTCAATTTTTAGTAAGGAACCCAAACAGTTCTGAGGCAGGGGCTTCAGACTCCTGTATGAGAAATACCACCTCGGGATCTTGACATTTGAGGTAGGTCCTAAAGCCTCGCATCCACGCTGGCCTGCCTGCCCTCACTGGCCTGCTTATACCCACTCTCCCAGCCCAGAAGGAGGACAGTGAGGACAGAAGATCTTGACAAAAAGCTTGCCAGAAAGCTAATTTTCTACCTTGGGACCTAGAAACTGGAAAGAGGATGGAGGATTTGAGGGAAGCAGGACCAAAGGCCCCGACCTGCAAATCTAAGAAACCCCAAATATTAGAATTACAGAATTTGAGTCATGGAATCCAAGAATCTTGGAGCAGCAAGAGTCTTTGAGGGTATAGGCAGACCTCCATCTGTTCTTACCCAGGGCGTGGACCAGTCTTGGTGTTCTGGATACTGGAGAGTGGGACCCCAACGGACAAGGACTTCTGAGGAAGGACAGTGTCTTCAGTTGTCAGATGTAGGTTTGCATGGAAGGCCACCTGTAGAGAGATGCTCCTAGCAGCAGCAAACCAGCTGCCAGGGCCCCTGGAGATCAGCAAACTCCACATTGCAGAGGCAGGTAGCTGAGGCCAGATGAGGAGGGGTCCCCTGAGGAGGCACAGCAGGGTTTGCTATACCAATGCCCGGATCCAGCCATCTTCACTTCAGCCCAGCTTCCTGGCTGAGGCTGGGGGTGTGTTGCAGGAGGAAATAGCAGCAGGTAAACACTAGATGGGCCCACAACTGAGCCAGGCCCTGCATGCTCTGCTCCTGGAGGTCACGCAGACTTGCAAAACTCCCATTTGGAGGCTCAGAGACTAGTCTCAGCTTAAACAGTAGAACTGGGATTTGAACCAGGACCATCCGGTGCCAGACTCCATTGTGTTTTTCTTGCTGGGGTGCCAGGCCCTACCGTTAATGCTGGGGATGACCCAGGCCAGCCCTGCCCGCTTAGGAACCTCCCTGACCCACTTGGGCCAGGCAGCCTGGAATTGTCCACATCTAAACTAACTCTGGAGGCACTGGCCATCCACATGGACCCCGGCGGGGGCGGGGAGTCAGAGGTCAGGCTTCCCGCCTCCACTCACCTCCCCTACTCTCCTCTAGGTCTCTGCTGTTCCTGGGGGTCCTCTCCGTGCTTGGGACCTGCTTTGGGGGCTACAACATGGCCATGGCGGTGATGAGCCCCTGCCCCCTCTTGCAGGGCCACTGGGGTGGGGAAGTCCTCATCGTGAGTATCCGGCCGGTGGGGCTGCTCCCGCTCCGTACCCCTCAACTCTGTACCCCTCAGCTCCTAGCCACGGCCTGGGAGAGCCTGGGCGCAGCCCTTTCCCGGGAGCAGAGTCTGTGGGGCTCTCCCAGGAAGCGCCAGGTGGGAGGGGTGCCCCTTCCTCATTTAAGAGTGGAGGCTTAGGGAATCGAGGTGACTGGTAGGCCTCTTCCCACCATGTGTACCTCAGCAGTGGCCTTCTCTCAAAGGCCCTTGACTTGATCATGAGCACATGAGCCCAGAAAAGCCACTGGGTTCTCCTTTGCCCCCGGGCGGTCAACTCATGGGACCCGTCAGCCCCTCAGGATCACTCCCAGAAAGCTCTCCTTGCACCTAGAGAGTATTCCATGGGTTTCCCTGAGCCCTGTGAGAGTTCTTTGTCCTGGCGCTCGCCCTGCAAGCCCTGTCACTCTGCATCTCTTCCCTCCCGTCCCCGCAGGTGGCCTCGTGGGTGCTTTTCAGCGGCTGCCTCAGCTACGTCAAGGTGATGCTAGGCGTGATCCTGCGCGACCTCAGCCGCAGCGCCCTCTTGTGGTGCGGAGCGGCGGTGCAGCTGGGCTCGCTGCTCGGAGCGCTGCTCATGTTCCCTCTGGTCAACGTGCTGCGGCTCTTTTCGTCCGCTGACTTCTGTAATCTGCACTGTCCCGCCTAGGCATGCCACCAACCCCGCCCCCATCGCTAACGGACGGAACTGGGATCCAGAGAGGCAAGGTCACAGAGCAAGTGGCAGGAACAGAGATGCAGAGCCTGAGTAATTGAATCATGAACACAAGTGCCCACTACGGACTGTGGGGAAGATGCGACCTGGAAATGCAAGGTGCAGCTCTATCCCCAACTCTGTGTCACAGTACCTGTGACTACAAGTTCGGATCTCCTTTGCCTTGACTCTCAAGAGAGGACTGATTTGCAGCATCTAGCTGGAGGCAGGCCCAAGGGTGTTAGAAGGGAAACAGCTGGGAGGGTGAGCTGTCCCTTCAGGCTGTGTGACCTTGGGAAAGTCACTTGGCTTCTCTGTGCCTGTTTCTTCATGCATGCAATGGGGATTACAGTAAGTACCAACTACCTCACGGGCATGGCACAGAGACAAAAGGAAGAAGACAAAAGGAGGGCATAAAGCAAGCCCTCCTGGGCCACCTGCTGACCTGAGAGTCCATCATAGTAACAAGAGTGGCGGTCAGCACAACCTAGAAGTAGCCAGAGGGTTGAGACAGGCCCCTGCCCTCTCTCCTTTGCCCCTTAGTCTCACAGAGGGGCTTCTACAAGACAAGCAGCTAGCGATAGAATCTTGGGTATCTTGGCTTTCGGATTCCCAGTGTGGAGAGACAGAGTACCCCACACACCCCTTCCTGTCATCCTTCCTGGCCCATAAAGCCCACTTGTTGGAGAGTAAGTACCTTCCTGGAAGCAGGAGGGGTGATTTGCCGGTGGGGCTGGGGAGGGCCCATCCCTGAGCCTCTGAAAGTGAAATCCCCAACCAGGCTGGGGACCAGACACGCAGACCCCCTGGAAGTATTCTCTCAAATGGAGGTGGCAGAGGTGATTGTTATTTTGTTTTAGCTTTAGTTTTTCATTTTTTTAAATAAAGACATTCCCTGCTTTTACACTCAGATCTTCCTTCAAAGGAGAAATTCAGGCATGGCACAGTGGCTCACGCCTGTAATCCCAGCACTTTGGGAGGCCAAGGCTGGCAGATCGCTTGAGGCCAGGAGTTCAAGATCAGCCTGGCCAGCATGGCAAAAACCCATCTCTACTAAAAATACAAAAATTTGCTGGTCATGGTGGCACATGCCTGTAGTGCCAGCTACTCAGGAGGCTGAGAATTGCTTGAACCCCGGAGGTGGAGGTTGCAGTGAGCCAAGATCATGCCACTGCCCTCCAGCCTGGGTGACAGCAAGACTCTGTATCAAAAATAATAATTTTAAAAAGAAGAAGTTTAATGTGAACTCCCAAAATGTGTAATTAGTTTCCACTTGGCTCTAAGCTCAAGGCTAAGTTCAGAAATGAACAGAATCAAGTGCTTAGAGGATGTCTGGTTCTGGGGCTTTTTTTTGGGGGGATGGAGTCTTTGCGATGTCACCCAGGCTGGAGTGCCGTGGCGCGATCTCAGGTCACTGTGTTGGAACCGAACTGTCGATTCCTTCCTGGGCAGGGGTCGCCACGAAGGATCACCGACACGAGATTCACAGCAGAGAGTTATTTATTACTAGCGCGCTAGGGTCCCAAGCTCTAAGTTGGCCCTGGGACCCTGACTGCTTGTTACAGGCTGTTTATATAGGCAAACACAAGTTCAAACACAGCTTAGGGCGCGAAATTCAAACAAAGCTTTAGGCGCGTGGTAATTGGGTCTGTCTATGGCCTGAGCAAGGTGTCTTGTTCTAATTGGTTAGAGCAGGACCTTATGAGGTTTTTTCCTGGAGTTGTTGATTCCGGGAACTTCGAGGCAGGGTGGGACCCCCGGAATTGGCAGGGTGGGACCCTATCAGGGTGGGACCCTATTGAGGCAGGGTGGGACCCTATCCAGAGCCACCTGGTGTTAATTTTTTTAAGTTCTTTTTTTTATGAGGCCTAGTTTCTAAGTTTTATGCGGCCTAGTTTCAACTGCAACCTCTGCCTCCCAGGTTCAAGTGATTCTCCTGCCTCAGGCTCCTAAGTAGCTAGGGTTACAGGTGCACACCCAGCTAATTTTTTTTTTTTTTTTTTTTTTTTTTTTTTTTTTTTTTGAAGCAGAGTCCTGCTCTTGCCCAGGCTAGAGTGCAATGATGTGATCCTGGCTCACTGCAACCTCTGCCTCCCAGGTTTAAGGGATTCTCCTGCTTCTCAGTCTCCTGAGTAGCTGAGACTACAGGTGCACGCTACCACACCCAGCATATTTTTTGTATTTTCAGTAGAGACAAGGTCTCACTATGTTGCCCAGGCTGGTCTCGAACTCCTGAGTTTAGGCAATCTGCCCACCTTGGCCTCTCTAAGTGCTAAGATTATAAGAGTTAGCCACTGTGCCCGGCCCCTGGGACTTGTTTTTAGAGGCTTTGTTTGCTTGCCACCACCACTCTTCCCTTCCCTTCCCTTTTAATTTATTGTGAATAGGTAATATAGTCATGTGTTTCAAAAAATCAGAAAATATAAGGTGCACAGAGAAAAGTTTTCACCTCTTTCCTCTCCCTCATCTGCCCAGTTTCTCTTACACACACACACACACACACACAGAGGAGCACTTTTATCAGTCTTTGTTTACCCTTCCAGAGATTATACAAATGGCAAATACAGTCTTCTCAGACCTTTTTTTTTTTTTTTTTTTTTTACAGAAAACGTAGTAAACTGTTGTGCACATTGCACTTTTCATTCAACAATGAAAACAGCCTCCTTGTTTTTTGTCATGGCTGTGTAGTATTCTCTTGTGTGGAGATGCAACGTTTATTTAACCAGCCCTCTGTAGAAAGATATTTGAAGGTGTTGGAGACAAAATTAAAGTTCTAATCCAGAAAACCTTTCCACAAAAGTGGAAGAGAAAACAGTTTTATTATTAAATAAACATTAAACCGACTGCAGTGGGCATCACAGGCAATCCACGAAAGAGATTACAAAGAGAAAGAAATTTCATCCTCCTATATAACCAAGCAGGTATAACCTATTGCACTCAAGTCCTCAAATAATAACTAGGGCCAGGGGTGGTGGCTCATGCCTGTAATTCCAACACTTTGGGAGGCCAAGGTGGGCAGATCACTTAAAGTCAGGAGTTTGAGACCAGCCTGGCCAACATGACGGAACCCCATCTCTACTAAAAATACAAAAATTAGCCGGATGTGGTGGTGCATGCCTGTAATTCCAACTTGAGAGGCAGAGGCAGGATAATTGCTTGAACCTGAGAGGCAGAGGTTGCAATGAGCTGAGATTGCGCCACCGTACTCCAGCCTGGACAACAGAGCAAGACTCTGTCTCAAAAAAAAAAAAATAGTCCTCAAGTCAGATGACTGCACAACATGATTTGCAACATATTTCATCCTGAATTCACCTGGTAGTTGGAGTGGCCATCTGCATTAGCTAATTGTCTTTATCCAGAGGAAATAGAAACTTACATCTTTATGATAGATGATGGACTGTTTTGCAGCTTGGAGCCAGGCACTGAAGTTAGGCTCCCATCCTCCCATGGAGACTGGATGAGAAGGGTGCTATCTTGATGTTTACCTTCCAAAGAGATGACTCCTAGGTCCTTGGGAAAACATTCCTGGCTTGTAAAACTGGTAGGAGGTCATTTGGCTTTTAAAAAGACTCCCATCTTAAAGGAACAGATAAATAATTGAGAAGTTTTCTGAAGTGTTTGCTCTAGAATATTTAAGAACAGGAAACGGGATGTTTCTTTCCCTTTTCTGCACCAGGAAGAATTAGTTTATTTTTCTTATTTGCCCTTAGAAGGGCATTTGGGTTTCCAGTCAGTCCCTCCCAGGAAGGATGTTGGAGTGGATAATGATCAGGGAGTTTCTCTGTACTGATGTAGGAAGTTGCCCCAGAATTAATTATATGTGCACACACACACACAAAGGAGATGCAGAAAAGCATGTGGAGTGTGGCGCAACCCATGCTAATGTCGCTTGTCAAGGACTGGGTGGAGGGTGCATTGGCATTCGGAAAAGGCAACTCTCTGGTTTTGCTTTCATGCGCCATCCTTGCAGGTCTTTAGCCCTTAAGGTACCGTGCAAGACCCAGCTCTTGTCAGCTTTGTCAGCACATGCGGATGAGAAAAGCACCTCCCTCCCAGGATTGCTGTTAAGGATGCACTGAGCTAGTATGTGCAAAGTGCTTGGCACCACACTGGCAAACAGTGAGTGCTCAATAAATATCATTAAAAAGCTGTCTCACTTTGGGAGGATATCCACCACAGACGCTTGATGTCCCCAAACTACACTCTGCCTGCCCCCACCACACCCCCAGCTGAAATGCAGTTTTGAGGCAGGCCTGAGACACGTGATGCTCCTACAGACACCAAGTGACCAACTAGGTAAATTATTTGCAGAATGAGATCAGGGCTGGATGTGTTGGTTTACACGTGTAATCCCAGCACTTTGGGAGGTTGAGGCAGGAGGATTGCTTGAGCCCAGCAGTTTGAGACCAGCCTGGGCAACATAATGAGACCCTGTTTCTACAAAAAAATACAAAAATTACTAGGCATGGTGGCACATACCTGTGGTCCCAGCTACTTAAGAGGCTGAGGTGGGAGGATTGCTGGAGCCCAGAAGTTCAAGGCTGCAGTGAACCATGATGGTGCCACAGCACTCCAGCCTGGGTGACAGAGCGAGATGCCATCTCAAAAACAAAACAAAACAAAAAAAATGGTTGGGCACGGTGGCTCACACCTGTAATCCCAGCACTTTGGGAGGCCAAGGCTGATGGATCACCTGAGGTTGGGAGTTCAAGACTAGCCTCACCAACATGGAGAAACCCCATCTCTACTAAAAATACAAAATTACCCGGGCATAGTGGTACATGCCTATAATCCCAGCTACTTGGGAGGCTGAGGCAGGAGAGTCACTTGAACCTGGGAAGTGGAGGTTGCAGTGAGCCGAGACCATGCCATTGAACTCCAGCTTGGGTAACAAGAGTGAACTCCGTCTCCAAAAAAAAAGAGAGATCAGAACTCCAGACTCAGTCCAAGGGGTGGGCTTTCCCAAGGATGCCCCTGCGAGCTGGTACCTCAAGGCAGGTAGGAGGGAAGGAAGTGAGGTAAGGAAGAAGGTGCCTTCCAGGAGGAAACTGCACTTTTGAAGGCCAAGGGGTAGAGCCAGCAGGGTGCCTTCAAGGGCCTGATAGGAAGACAGGGTGGGGACCCAGAGAGAGAGACAGAGTACCTTGGAAGCCAAGATCATGGAGAGATGGAAGGCTGCTTTGGCCTGCGTGACATTGAAAGGGACCACATCAGATGCAAGCAGGCTCAGAAGCCACTGCAGCCATCCTGGAGAGAAATAACGTCACCCTGGGCAAAGAGCATAACCCCCCAAGGGGTTCACCTTGCAGGCTGCCTAGTCAGAGCCGATTCATCAAGACAGGAGAATTGCAACAGAGAAAGAGTAATTCACGCAGAGCCAGCTGTGCCGGAGACCAGAGTTTTATTACTCAAATCAGTCTCTCGCGAGCATTCAGGGAGGAGAGTTTTTAAGGATAACCTGGTGGGTGGGGAGAAGCCAGTGCACCAGGAGTGCTGATTGGTTAGGGATGAAATCACAGGGAGTCGAAGTTGTCTTCTTGAGCTGAGTCAATTCTTGAGTGGGAGCCACAAGATCAGATGAGCCAGTTTATTGACAAGGGTGGTGCCAGCTGATCCATCAAGTGCAGAGTCTGAAAAATATCTCAAGCACTGATGATAGAAGCAGTTTAGGGAGGGTCAGAATCTTGTAACCTCCAGCTGCATGACTCCTAAACCAAAATTTCTAATCTTGTGGCTAATGTTAGTCCTACAAAGGCAACTTAGTTCCCAGGCAATAAGGTCTGCTTTGGGAAAGGGCTGTTGAAAGTATAAACTAAGTTTCTCCCAAAGTTAGTTCAGCTTATGCCCAGGAATGAACAAGGACAGCTTGGAGGTTAGAAGCAAGATAAGAGTACATCAAGTTAG